CCACAGCAACAGGAAATCAAAAAGAGACCCTAAGTGTTAAATAAATAACATACTTAAATACAAACTGGAAAGCGTACCGATGTGAGCCAATATGCTCCATATTTGTTAGGGTTTGTTAGTTACCCTCTTGTCCCTATGACAAATATCTGAGAGAAACTAGTCGTTAAGGAGGTAGGGTTTATCTGAGTCGTGGTTGGTTGAACCCTCTGAAGCGAGGGAGGGCACTGTGAGGCAGGACTGCATGCAGAGACTGCTCACTTCATGGTCATCAGGATGCAGATGGAGAGCAAGTGGCCAGAGACAAAGGGCTAGGAAGATGGCTTGGTAGGAGTCTTTGTTAGGGTTTCTACTGCTGCAAGGAAACACCACGACCAAAAAGAAAGTTGGGGAGAAAAGGGTTTATTTGGCTTACACTTAGATATTGTTGTTCATTATTGAAGGAAGTCAAGACAGGAACTCAAACAGGGCAGGACCCTGGAGGCAGGAGCTGAGGCAGAGGCCACGGAGGGGTGCTGCTTACTGACTTGCTTCCCATGGTTTGCTCAGCCTGCTTTCTTTTGAACCCAGGACCACTGCTGAGGACAATTTTAAGAGCCATGCCATATTGCCTGCCTGAGTTAAGTTTCTGTTGTCCAGTATTGACCCACTAACCAGAAACTTTTGACATGCCTGGACAAGTCTTGAGTTATTAGAAAATAACTTAACATTTCCTTATCTTTCTGCTACAGTGACCATTAGTAACAATGTTTTGTGGCTAGGTTGCTTGGTTGGGTTGCTTGGCAACTCAACAGTCCCCTGATCTTTTCCCAAAGAAAGTTTCTTGGTCTGCTTACTATAAAACCCACCTGAGAAAAATTAAATTTTGCAGCTTGATCACAATACTGTCTTGCTGTCAATTCTTTGTGTCTCTTGTTCCTTTCATTTGCCATTCCCCCTTCTAGGGTCTCTGCTGAAGATCCTGCTGGCTGGGACAGACCTCCAGCCTAGGAATGGCACCATCCACAATGGGCTGGGCCCTCCCCCATGAATCACTAATTAAGAAAAATGCCCTACAGCTGGATCTCATGGAGGCATTTCTTCAACTGAGGCTCCTTTCTCTCTGATGAATCTAGCTTGTGTCAAGTTGACACAAAACCAGTCAGTATAGCAGGGAAGGTGCTTGCTGCACAGTGTGAGGACTGAGTTTAGATCCTGAGTACTCAGCCGCAGAGGTGTTTGACCGTAACTGTGATTGTGTTGCTGTAGGGGTGGAAACAGGAGGATTTTGGACTTGCTGGCCACCCAGTCTATCCAAAATGTTAAGCTTCAGAGTCAATGAGAGACCCTGTCTTAAAAAATAAGGTGGAGAGAGGCCAAGGAAGATACCAGATATTGACCTCTGGCATGTGCGTCTGTGCATATGTGGGTGGGTACACATGTACACAAATACATGTAACGCACACACATTACCTTCTAGTAATCCTGCTAGAGTTCATTTTCTCTGCCAGCTAAAGAAGGAAGAGGCAAAAAAAAAATCTTGAATACAACATGGAGCATCAGGGAAAAATCTCAGAACCAGAACCAGCAGACAAAGACAAGCTTTTACAGAAAAAGACCCTCTGTAAAAGAGAGGGAGCACTCGGAAGCCCCGCATCTGGTTTCTTCTTGCCCTAACTTAAGGCTGGTCAATTCGAACGAAGACAGGGAGTTTGCTAGGCCCACACTTGAGGTAAACATGTCCTGGTTGGCTGACAGAGGCGCCCTGCTGGCAGGAGAAAAAGCCCACCAGGCCTTTGTTTCAGGTGAGAAGAGGGAGGAAGATGCTGAGTTTGTCCATTTTATTATCTATCAGAGACCCTTCTCCCTATCTGCTGCCTATCAGGAATCTCTCTTCACACACACACACACACACACACACACACACACACACACACACACACACACACACACACACACTTCCCAGGACACACCGCCAGTGATCATTTCCTTCAGCTGTATTTTGCCCTCTACCCCCCCCCCCCCCATCAAGTGACAAATCCACCAAGGTACTAAAACCACTTATGAGACCAGAGTCCCTGGGATCCCATTGCTTCTCCAACAAGTCTTTAAGGCATGAGCCGCTGGGAGGGCACTCCACATCCAGAGACCCATCCTCTCCCTGCGGTGGCGGCCAGGTTCCACACTTCAGAGGTCACCAAAGGCCTCCAAAGGCAGCCTTCCTCCACTAACCCATCCCTCCTTTTCTCCAGTGTGGTCTGTTCAGCCTTCCAGAGGGTGGACTCCATCACCGGGGCAATGAGATCCACCTGCTTACAGGAATAAGGGCTGCTTACATGCCAGTATGGATGATACCACTGGCCTCAGCCTTAACTCTCTGCCATGGATAGGGGCAGGTTGCAACAGATGTGCGCCAAAGGGAGGGTATGAAACCCTCTTCTACTCTGCCACCCTACTGAAGGCCCCCGCCCAGGTAGGGAAAGGACAGTCTGGCACACAGAGGCAGTGTCCCCTGGTGGTACAGGAATGCAGATCACAAGGACCCTGGGGCAGAGGCCTCACTGTCCGTGGTTCTCTGCACCCAGTGCTCAAACTCTGAGCTGCAGTCAATTTACCCTCTCTCAGTCCCAGTGACCCTCCTCCTGTTCCACTAGACAGCTGTGTTTAATGGTCCAGAAAACTGCTGTGGGTCTGAAAAACCTTCCCGTTGTAATTAGGATAGTGGCTTCCCTAGGAGAACCATCTTCCAGGCTTCACAGAACCTCACAGAACGTCTCTGGATCTTCGAGCCAGAGGCTGCCCCTGCCCAGGTTCTTGGCTCAGGAGCCAGGGGTAGCTTGCTGGCAATTGCTTGAGACACTCTGAAAAGAGTGAGAAGCAGGCGAGCAACACTTTGCCTGTGTCCCACGACCAAGCCAGGCCAGCCCTGGAAGAAGGCGTTGGTCTGTTCCTTTCAGTGCTACCCACACTGTGAAAGAACTCACCACTTTCGCTATCCCCAGCTGCCACACCACAGACACCAGACGACATCCGCTCCTCATCTCGTTAACTGGTCCAGCTTGCTCATCTTCCACATGCCAGTCTGGGTCCTACTCTTTCCACTGGAGTAGTAGTTCTCAACTGTAGACACTTTTTCTCTCCACAGAACATTTGCTGAGCCAGAGACATTATTGGGTGTCACATGTGTGTGCACACGCTCGTGTGTACTCGGTGCTGGCAGCAGACGATGGATACCAGGGACACTGCCAAACACCTTACCACAACAAAGAATGGTTAGACCTAACAACAGTCACTCCAGCTGAGGTAGGGGTGTGCTGTTTTGGGGTCACTGTGGTCCCTGAAGGATGGATGTTTTGAGTGGTAGTCTCTGGTACTAGGCTCTGCCGAGGGTTTGGATGGTGACTGGGTGTCCCATTAAGGACATACAGAGAAGAGGTATAGCTCACAGATAACAAAACCACCCCCATGACAGAAACAGCAGAGCTCACAGCCTGGAACAGTGTCAGAACTTTAGTCTCTGAACTTTGGTCAGGAGCATCTCCCCTCTTAACAGACACCTCCAAGCCCAAAGGCCAAGCCTAGCTCATTTTCCAGTGGGCTTCCCTGGGCCCAGCAATTAAACACATGAACCTACCTCACCCGCCGTCTGCTGTTAGCCCATTTCCCACACAGGAATATGGAGACCCAGGCAGGTATGTTCCCATTGCAGGTTTGAATCTGGCCAGCCCCTCTACCTGGAACGATCTCTCCTTATCCTCCAGATCCCAGCCACAACTCTGCCCAGGACAGGATTTCACCACCCCTGCAACCCAGGCTGCACCCTCAGAGGGGACCCCCAGTCCCATCACTCCAGGCCAGAGAGAATCTCAGCAAAGGACAATGTGATGTAATGTCATAATCGAACCCACCATTTTGTAAACTAAGCAAACACAGAAACAAAGAAACACTCCTGCCTCTGGTCACATCCCCCAGTTGCATGAACTGTCAGAGCCAAGGTGACCTTGGCTGAGAGGCTACGAGAAAGGTGGAGAGAGGGACTGCCCTGAGGTCAGGGAGGGTCAGGACAGAGAGAGACCAGGTGTGGAGGATAGTGGCTGCAGAGTCCTTCACCCTGTGGGTGGTTCAGCATCCCCTGGGCCGCAGGAGGCTCCATACAACCTGGTTCTGCTTGTTGTACACTAGGCCCTGGTTACCCCAGGAAACTGAGCTTCTGCATGAAGCCCTGCACAGAATAGCGTGGGAGTTTAATAACTGTGGGTGATGGCAGTGCTTCACTGAACTCCTTTCCTCTCCCACAGAGACTGCAGTTCCCACAACCCACAGACCCCCCCCTCCCCTTCTCTGAAAGGATTTCATATCATTCTGGCTGTGAACTCCAGTCATCCTAAAATTTTGCTCCAAGTCCCTAGCCCAGGAGCCCATTTGTCTTTGTGTAAAAACAATGGCATTCTAACTGTAGGCAAACAAGGACCTGCATTGTTCTGAGACCACTAAAGACAGGACTTTAAGGGGGGGGGGGGGGAAAGCGACACCCACTGGTTTGGGATGGGAGCTGTGCACTGGGCATCTTCAGAACTTCCCAGAGATTTTTACTGCGTGATTCAGGCTAAAGAGTTAGAGCAGTGTTCAATTGGTAAAAATACCGTGCAGTTGTGTACATAAGGGCCCATAAATAAATGAACGTTTTTCAGGCCAGAGAAGGGTCTGGTGTCTTCTGCTCTCCCAGCTAGCTTCTTTCCCTCTCGTCCACCAACACATTTGTGTTCTGTTTCCACTCGTCCTGTGGCAGAGGGCATTACTCAGCACCGACCTCTTAACTCTCCTGTGCATCTGCAAAAACGGGGAAATTGCCCCAGTGATTAGGATGCAGGCACATCTCCCCACGAGGTTCTTTGACCTTGCACACATGTTTCATATGAGAATCACATCCCTCCGTGCCCCCCCCCCCCCCCGCCCCCGGTCTCTCTCGGCAAGGGAGCATGTGGTCTTCGGAGGCCTCTGGGGCCTGGGAAACACGGGACCCCAAAGCTTGGCTTGCACCGGAGTAAATTCAAAGTTAACTTCGAGATTGTCCCCTGGGAGGGCCAGGGCGCAGAGCCAGCGGCGGCCCCGCAGAGGATCTGCGCAATTGCTGGTGCCAGGGAAGATGCTCTGGCCAGCGCACTCGGGAGGCGGGACCTTCGCAGACAGTTCTGCTGCTTCTCTGCAGCGCAGCTAGCAGGTCTGTGGTCCTGGGGCCCAGGCACTGACTGACCCGCCGCTGCGCTGTGGGAGTCAAGTGCGCCTCCTCCCGCCACTGCGCACCTATCACAGTCCCTGAGCGCATTGCCGCGCGCTCCTCCCACCTGCAAATGCCTGCCCAGCCAGAGACGCCCCGGCCTGGACAGCGCCTGCGGGCCGCCTGAGCCCTGGCCCTACCCCAGCCTCAGCTCCAGCCGGACGAAGGTAAGGGACTGCCGGGGTCCCAGGGCGAGGGGACTGGGGACCGCAGGGCAGGCTGGCACCCTTGTGTTCCTTCTTCCTGTAAAATTAAGGCAGAGATGTCACAGAGCTTGGTGCGAGCCTGGGTTCACTGACAGAGACTTGTATACATACCACACTGAAGGAAGTTGTGTTTCTGGGTGGGTTACAGCACACACATAAATGAGGGCTACACATCATATGCACACAGCACATGATTCAAAAGAACAGCCCGAGCTAGAGAAAATAACATCAATCAAATCAAATTCTAAAACCAACTCGGAAGCATCCTGCCGCAGCAGCTCCTGCAGTGTGTGGGCCCAGGGCTGAGAACAAGAAAGGAAAAAGCCGTCTTCTCAGCCAGGGCTGACTTCCTGGGGATGGCTCTTCTGGTCATTTCCAAATCCCGGGAGTGCCTTGAGCTTGGTAATCAACATTTTCTTTTTTTGGGGGGAGTGGTTAGGGGAAAGCTGTGCGATGATGATGATAATGATGATGATGAGTGTGTGCACCCACCAAGGGTAAACATTCAGAAAATACAGCATTTGGGGGACTCCCCTGCCCCCTCATCCCGTTTCAGTTCACAGATTTCTAATTTTAGGGGAACAGAGTCACCTTCCAAATAATGGAAACTAAATCAGAAGAATTCTGTTGTAAATTTCTTTTTCACTTTTCTATTTGCTCAACAAACTTAAGATTCTTTGTTATGTGCATATAGCATTGTTTGTATCTCTCTCATTTACTATTTCTGCGCTGGGCCAAAGGGATGGGGGAGAGGTTTGAATGAGGTGGGATCTGGGAAAAGGTCTTGCTCCAGTCAGTACTGGGGTACCCAGTGGCTGCTCTTGTCCATTTTATGAATGTAGGGAATTCTTAGTTGCATGGCTGAGTGATATACATGCTTATATGCCCATTCTTTTCTCTTTTTTCTTTTTTCTTTCTTTCCTTCCTTCCTTCCTTCCTTCCTTCCTTCCTTCCTTCCTTCCTTCTTTCTTTCCTTTCTCTCTGTCTTTCTTTTTTCCCTCTCTCTCCCTTCCTTTCTTTTTTCCTCCTCCTCCTCCTTCTTTTTTCCGATACAGGGGTTCTCTGTGCAGCCCTGACTGTCCTGGATCTCACTCTGTAGCCCAGGTTGGCCTCGAACTCACAGAGATCTGCCTGGCTCTGCTTCCCAAGTGCTGGGATTAAAGGCATGCGCCACGATTGCCACCACCATTGCCACCATCACCTGGCTTGTCCTTTCTTGTATAATGAAGCTTTTCAGTTAAATTATAGCCTTGGACAAGGAATATAGCTTAGTGGTAGAGTCGTCCTGGCATGTGGGAGGCCCCAGCTCAATCTTCAGATCTGAAAACAGCAACAACATCAACGAAAACACCTGCCTGTTTGCCTGCCTGTCAATCACCCCTCCAGTCTTGTGCATGCCCCTGTACCTGTCCATCTTTTTCAGTGTTTCTTCTCTAAAAGAATAGTTTGAGTAACACGAAAATTTGTCTTCAAAGAGATCGTGTATGTCTTGAGGAGTGATTGTGCAGAGGTCTGCTTTTTGTTACCTTCAGATTTTGTCTTCTCTTTCCAAGTAGTTCACCTGAAAGGCGAATTAAAAAAGAAAGTCTAATTTTGAGGGAAAAGCTCAGGGCGGGGCTGTTGTCCTCAAGTCCCGGAAGTGATCTTGGGGAGCAGATTCTTTCTTCTTCCTTCTCTCCACCCCCACCCCGCCCTAGCATGACCCAGACAGTTATTCCTTTATGAACGTTCCTCTCAACAGATGTCCCTTCCTCTGTGGGTTTTGGGCAGGTGCTCTGAATAAACAATGGGCATCTCAGAGACTGGATGTTATGAGATGAGGCCGTTGCCTGCTGGTGAGTCCCCTTTCAGCTGGGCTTTCCTCCTTCTGTTCTCACTCTCTGGTTACAGGCAGTGGACAGGAAAGTTAGGTCAGTGCAGAGGATCTTAGAAGGACTTCCAGAGACAATCTCTGCTTTCCTGGGCATGGCCTTGGCCTTGGGCTCGGAGCTCAGAAACATGCCGTCTGTCCTGTTCACCCATTTAACTGGACATTGGATCCTATTTCTCCTGGGTTTTCTGTCAAGAGTAGATCCTGGTCCTGGGAACCACTCATGGTTCCTGTGGCCTTGCACAGCTGTCCCCGATAAGTGAGATGACTGAACAGGATGAGAGTCTTCCTTGAATCTGACAGAACTTACACTACCATGTCCTTTCCCTGACTCTAAGTATCAGCTACCAGGAGCTCACTGCATTGTCCCTACCCCACCCTGGGTTGGGTGAGCTGAGGGTGTGTGTGTGTGTGTGTGTGTGTGTGTGTGTGTGTGTGTGTGTGTGTGTGTGTGTGTGTGTTTAGGGGCTGGGGTGGGGTTGGGGGTGAGGAGGGTGGGGATGGGAGTTGGGGAGTGGCCTCCAAGACACACAATTGACTTCTCTCCTGATCCCTATTGCTTATCTCTGCCCACTTCCCTGCCATCAGGGGAACAGATGACTGGCAAGGGATCTTTCCACTTCCCTGGTTTCAGGCTGTCCTCTGGCTAGGCTTGGGGATCGCACTCCATCAGGCTCTGTGGCTGGCCTCCCGTGGGTTTGGACAACGCTTTCCTTTGCTTCTGGTAAGAGGGAATTATCTGATCCCACGTCTGAAGCTGCAAAGTAAAAGGGTGGGTGAGATGGATGACAGAGGTTTTGGTGAAGTCACATGACTCTCAATGTAAAACCAGGATCATGAGACTGAATGTCAGCAGACTGAACCCTGAAACAACCGGTGACCAGCTGTCCTGTCAGTTGTATGGCAAAGGTTAAACCCTGGACTGTGGAAATCACAGTCCTTGGGTGCTAGTTATTAAGTTAGTTAGTATTCCCAACCACCCAGCTAAGGGGTGGTGGTGGTGATGTTCCAGACCAGATCTATCTGGTCTAGATGCCATGTTGACATACCAGATGAACCCAGGCTCATTATAATTTCAATATAGGAATAAGAACACACCCACCAATGCTGAGAAAGATTTGAGCATGCCCAAATTAGGGAGGGAAAGAGGAAACACCCTGACTCCTGGAAATCTGCCCCATTCCCATGATAAACTCTGCATTTATGTCATACCCCTTAGAACTCAGTCTGATCAGTAGACTGAACTGAGCTTTGAGAGGAGAAGGGAGCAGGGAGAGGGGAGCGAGAGAGGAAGGAGAGAGAGAGAGAGAGAGAGAGAGAGAGAGAGAGAGAGAGAGAGAGAGAGAGAAAGAGAACACAAAGAAGAGAGAAGATCAAGAGGGCGCTTGGATGAAATGGCAGGGTTATGCAGGAATGAGACGCTGGGGGAAGGGAATTTCCTGAGCTGGAGAGGTTTAGGGGGCAGGGTTGGAAGGGCTGAGAGGAGCCCAGGAACTTGGTGAGCCTGGAAACCAGTTTATGCTTTGTATGCTAATAGGCATCATAGATAGAGCCATTTGTCCCTAGTTTCTTTTGGACCTGACAAAAATAACATGGTATTGAGTTGAAAACCAAGATCAAGGGTTTAGAATATTATGTAATTGTATTCACTTGGTAAAGATTTCAACCAGACTTTTTATATCTGATTTTGAACATCATCATCCCACATCCACAATAAGAGCTAGAAGTCATTTGGGACCAAACAGGGCTAAAAATGTAGTTGATCACTCCCTTATTCCCTATGTACTCAATGGAGAGACAGCAGAACTCGGGCAGATTACTTCAACCCTGTACTTCCGTTCTGTCCCTTGACACCATAGAGGCTGATAATATTATTTCTCTGGGTGCACATGAGGACTGTTTGGTCCCATCTTTCCTTGTGGCACTAGTGATAATGATTATTGCAGCCATTGTTTACCTATCATTTCCTAAGCTCTCTGTTGAATTTTGCTTGGGTATAGAGAGAAATAAAAAAGCTTCTCAAATTATAAAATAACTTGGTTTTAAGAATAATTGCCAATTGGTACGAGACATATATTTTGGGGCACAGTAGAATGGCAAAAATAGAGGACAGACTTTGGGGCACAGTGGTCCTGTGCTGGCTCAAGTTTGGAGTCTCTCCCATGTAGCTTTTGATTCTCCGAGTCTAAACTCCCTTTCCAGTGCCACCGCTCAAGGCTGTCTATTCTCTTTCTTGCAAGACCTCATTTCTTTGTTCCCTCGGGGTGTTTTAACTGCCAAGTGTTAGCTCTGCAAGTCCCTCTTTTAATCTCCTGGGTCTCTTGTCATTTCCTGTGTCCATTGTGTTTTGCTGACAGAATATTCCCAATTTCTCCAGGGAGCAGTGCATTTATCGCCTTGCCTTTGATCCACTTCTGGGAGTTCCTTCTTTCAGAGTAGCTGGGCCGCCACTCTTGTTTAACAAGGGCAGGGACACCTGGTTGGCTGCCTCTGTAGGTACAAGTTAAGCTGACCATTCGTCATTGCCTCCCTCTTACACAGATTTTATTCACCTTCTTCTCAGAGGTTTAGTGGAGCCCTGAGTACCACAATCTACTTCTTTGTTGTCCCAGACTATGAAAAAAGGGGAGAGGCATCAGGCGGTGTGAATAATTATGACAGGCAGACTGCTTTTCACGTTATTTTACCAAAACATGTTTTCCAGCCTACTCAGGTCAGGTAGGAATCAAATTTATATTCCTTAAAATTGTAAACTATTTCAGGCATGTAGTAAAGTCAGAGAGCAGCAGACAAGTTATGTGTGAGCATGTCCCTGTCACATTAGTGGCACCTGCTTGTGACTTATAAGGTGAGACACTAAATGTGAGTGGGTCATAGAGCATTGCCTTTTATCTCTCCCAGCCTTTTACCCTTTCTCACTGCTCTGGATTCTTCATCCATCCTTCAGACCTCTACATGTGAGTCTGTATCTCACATCACTACCTGTATGCTTTCGAAATTTACTGGTATTAAGGCGTAGCACTAATTTCTGCATTTTCATCACTATTGCTGAATATTCAGATGTTTTACATTTTAATATAAAACCAGCATTCCTGGTGTGTCTCCTCTTGCACAACTGTGTGATTTCCTGAAGATTTAGGGTCTATCTGTATGAGCATAACTGACTTCCAGGTCATGTGTGTCTCCATCGGTCCTAAATTCTGAAGGATGCCACTTGGGAGGGTAGGGAGCTGCGCTAAATCACACTCCCACTAACCATATGATTCAGTAACTCAGTGCCTGGTTCCCCACACTTTGCCAACACATAGAATCACTGGACCCTTTCATTTTTAATACAAAAAGTAGTAGCTCAGTCTTATTGCTTTAAGATGCATTTACCTGAGCTGGGTGGTGTTGGTGCACACCTTTAATCCCAGCACTCAGGAGATCTCTGTGAGTTCAAGGGCAGCCTGGTCTACAGAGTGAGTTCCTGGATAGCCAGGGTTACACAGAGAAACCCTGTCTCAAAAAAAACCAAAGAAGAGGAAGAAGAGGAAGAAGAAGAAGAAAAAGAAGAAGAAAAAGAAGAAGAAGAAGAAGAAGAAGAAGAAGAAGAAGAAGAAGAAGAAGAAGAAGAAGAAGAAGAAGAAACATTTACCTGTTTTCTAGCACAGCTGGTTGTGTTTTTCATTCATATATAGATATTAGCCTATGATTTGTCTATCTCTTGCTTATTTATCAATCTGTCATTATCATCTATTGATTGATCTATCCATTTTTCACTTGCCTTTGTATTTATCATCTATATTTTCTTGTCTATCATTTATCCATCTATCACCTACTAGTTTTCTGTCATCTATGTATTTATCACTTGTCTATTTTCTATTCATAATATGTACCATTTATCTATCATTTAATATCTACCTGGTGTATCTATCAACCAGTTTATAATCTATCTATAATCTATCCATCTCTATCACCTATTGGTACTCTATCATGTATGTTTCCATCCATCCATCATCTATCTCCTATTTATAATCTACATAATTTACCTAACTTCTATTGTATATCTTTTTGGTATATCTATGTATCTATCTATATCTATATCTATATCATTTCTCTATCACCTACCACCATATACCTATTTATAATCTATCATCTATCTCTTATCTATCTATCTATCTGTCTATCTGTCTATCTATCTATCTATCTCTCTCTCTCTCTCTATCTATCTATCTATCTATCTATCTATCTATCTATCTATCTATCTATTATCATCCATCTTCTATCTATCATCTATCTAGCCATCATCATCCATTTTCTATCAACTGTCTATCTATCTATCTATCTATCTATCTATCTATCTATCTATCTATCTGTCTATCTTCATCATCATCGTCTATCATCTATCTCTCTATCATCTATGCATCATCACCATCATCTTCTATCTATCTATCTATCTATCTATCTATCTATCTATCTATCTATCTATCATCTATCTGTCTATCATCAATCATCTATCTAGCTCTGTCTCTTTGTCACTGTGACCAAATACTTGACAATACAGAAGCAACTTGAGAGGAAGGACTGACCTGAGATCACAGTGAAGAAGGTACAGTCCATTATAGCAGGGATGGCATGGAGTCAGGACCAACTCTTGTCTCCGGCAGCAGGAAGGTGAGGTGACTAGTCAAATCACACCAACCAGGAAGTATAGAGCTTAGGTGAGAAGGAGGCCAGGCTACAATTCTTAAAGGCCTGCCCCTACCTTATCTAGTCATGCTTCCACACCAAAGGGCCCATTGCCTCCCCAAGACAGGGCCAGATGCTGAGGACCAATAATTTATTCACACAAGCCCACAGGGAACATTTTTCATATTCATGTTATGAAAGTCTGTCTGTCTGCCTACTACTTGGGATTCCTCTTCTGTGAGTGATCTGTTTGTACCTTCTGTTTATTTTCCATTTTGATGTCTCTTAATGGTCGCAGAGGCTTGTTAGAGCCTTCAATTACACTGTGAACAAATACCCCTTCCTCATCTGAGGCTTGTACTGTCACAGTCTGGCTAACCACACCTTCTCATTTTTTAATTTGATCAAATTCATCAATTTTTAAAAAATATCTACGGTTTGTGCTTTTGTCTTAAGAGAAAATGCTGTTCTTGAAGACACTCTGGTGTATTTTCTTATAAAAGTTGTAAAGGTTTTAAAGTTTAGCAAACCATTTGGGTTTTAACCTACCTGGCATTTGGTTTTGATCAGCTGTGAGTTAAGGACTCCAATGTGATCTTTCCATGTGAGTAGCCAGTGCTCTCAGGATTGAATTCCATAGTCAGGTGTTTTTCTGGTGACATATGTGTGCTGCCACTTCTTTATAAGTGTGTAAATCTGTTTCTGACTTGTTTGTTCTGTTTTTATTGATTAGCTTGGTCTGCTTATCAGACCAGGTGACTTAGGCAGTAGAAACTTGCAGAGACCAAGTAAGTCTTAGGTCAATGTCCCAGGACGGCTGGCCCCTGGTGAGGTCTCGCTTCTGGTTGCAGACTTCCACTTTCTGTCATTACAAGGGGCCTGACATTTCTCTTTCTTCCTCTTCTAATAAGTCAGTTGAATTAGGGCCCCTCTCTGGGGCCTCATCATCTAACCTTAATTATAGCCTGAAGGCTCTGCCATACTGGGGTCAGAACTCCGGCATGACTGTTTGGGGAGGCACCATTTATTTCATAGCATTGGTCTCTTGGCCTA